CACACACACATATATGTAAATGTATATGTACACACATATATATATGTGTATATGTAAGTTTTACTTCACCTGTATTTATGGTAATACAGATATGTATATATGTATACATATTTGTATAATTGTATACAAATATATTTGTATACAAATATGGGTACAAAGCATATGTATATGTATACAAAGCACATATATGTATATATATTTACAAAACACAATAGTGTTATGTATTTTGCTGCTGTATTGTGTATAAGGCTGAATTGAGCTGATCCCATTCATGTCTATGATGAGTTATAATCTTATTGTCTGACTGGGATGCCATCAAAAACAATTGCAGTTGCCCCTATGTTTAGCTGACATTCTTTTTGTCCCATTTTACCACTCTAATAACAAAATACTATGCAAATGAAAACTGCCTAATATTTATCACTTAAAAATATAAATAAAATATAAATATATCAAAATGGGTCAATGGGGTACTTGTGACAATTGCTTTTAAGTTGTTTTTCAGGGAATTTGTATGCGTAGAACAAAATAAGTGATCACAGGCACATATTTTTATTGTCTTTTGCAAAAAAGTACAATAGGAAAGCTCAGGGAGAAGTTAACAGCAATGAAGCAATGAGAGGGGTGTGTATGGGAAGGGGTGAGGTGATTTTTGTTGAGGGACACTAGAACAGTATAACCAGAACACAAGGCCACTATGCTAAGGAAGGAAACATGAATGCTCTAGGCTCCCTTGTCTCCAAATAAGGGCTCATTTTCAGCAGCACTGATTTCCAATTCACTTACAACAATTGGTCGACATCTAAAAAAAAAATCACAGTCCAGAATAAAGTTGTAAGGAATAACTAACTGTTGGCCCTGCCCCAGAAGAGTGAGAATCAGGTTAAAGACTATTGCTAATCTTAGGTGGATGGGCCATTATTGGTTCCTCTTCAGCCTTCACCAGGAAGTCAGTCTCTAGAGTAGGTTAATCCCCATCCCATCCTACTCCTTTGAGAAAGGAGTACAAACTTAAATATCAAAAGGAAAAAAATCTGCAGATTGACAGAATAGGCCAGTTCCCGACAGTTAAGGCTGAATCACCAAAATCTATTGTGCATGTTTCTCATCCAATGTTACGACGTTTGTTCTGAGGTTCCTCGCCCTGCCTGCCTTGGACACCACCCACACGACACAGTGGGAGGCTGGGCTGGATGCTCCACCACCCGCACCCTGGGCCTCCTTTTCAAGTTCTCCGCAAAACGCTCGTTAAGTTGTGTACATTTCGAAGAGGCCAATTCTAACACCAGCCACAGGTTGACCTATTTCTCCTCTACCTTCTGTCTGGAGGGGGCGGTGGCTTGTCAAACGACAAATAAATAGGAAAGGCTCCATCAGCAAGCACCAGGCACGGGCCCCAACTTGGGGAACGCAGGGGGCTGGGCAGCAAAAATGCAGCAGCCAGAGCTTCAGGAGTGTCCTCAGCACTTAGGCCAGAAAAACCCTGTTCGCGGCTGCTCACAAGTTGGCCTGTAGACCACACTGGCCAGCGGACCTTCCCAGAGCCGCGCCCCCTTCCTCTCGCGCGTCCTGGGATACCCCGCCTCCGGGGTCTGGAACTGGCACCAGAACTTCCGCGGCAGCACCACGCTTTCAATCTGCATAGAGAACCAGCTGGGCGCATGCGCAGCACTCGCAAGTCTGGTCACGGTAGCGCTTGCGCGGGACCTCGAGCTCCTCGCTGACGTCCCTCCCTCCCCCAAGGCACGGCTTGGGCACGTCTCCGCGGCCGGTACCTGAGGCGCGAGAGTCCGCGCAGCCAGAGCTCTAGTCAGGCCGCTTCGGAGGACGAGCATGGCGCGGCTGCGAGCGCTGGGAGGGCCAGCCAGCCAGTATTCTGTCTTCGGTTCCTCCTGGTAGGGCTAACCCGCCTGGAAAAGAGCAGCGACCGAGCTACTGGCGGACGCAGGCTGGGGCGGGACTCCGCGGCTGCAGCTCCGCCTCTGGTGCCGGGAGGCGCGGCGGCACGGCCCGGTTGGCTGGCGTCGTCCGTGGGCGTCACGTTCGGGCCCCTGCCCCCTCCGGCCCAACGTTTGTTTCCTCAGACGTTCTCACCCAAACGTCAGAGGGGCCTTAGGATTAGCTGAACGCGGAGAGCGTTCCTGTGCCACCTTTCTGAGCCCATCAGCTAGTCTCCACGCGCGGTTGCGCACAGTTCTTAAAGTTCGTGCGCAGAATGTGAGTGTGTTTGTCCTTTGAGAAGGAAGAATGATGCGTGCATATTATAATGCTGTGCGTTGAAAATCGTGGAGGTTTTTGTCCTTGTTCATTTTTAGGGTGACTTAAACGTCAAGAGCAGGGAGGCTTCACTTCTCCTCATTAAATGCATGGTGGTTCTCTAATTGCCACCGCCGCATGACCTTGTAAGGCTCTTAATGATTTGAAATTGCATTTCCCAGGAGCTCAGAAGAATGAGGGCACCGAAGCAGACGTGAAAAAGTAAACTGTTCAAAACTAGATAATTCTGTAAGCCTTAAAACTAAAACAGCTGACCTCTGATCTAGTTTAGTCAGTAGACCCTTTCTCTGGTTTTGGTTACCAAAATAACACCAGCATTTCAAGTTGTTTTTTCTAATGCCCGTTTCTATATTTTTAAATAATAGGCATATTCTGCTGTTTCTTGAGTTTTTCAGTTACAGAAAGTATCTGTTGACTTACTTTTATGCAAGAAGAGGATTTAAGTCTCTTATGTACCACTCCGTCTAAATAATACTCTTCCCAGCATCTAATGATGCCTACATTAAAAACAGTTAATTGTTACATTAATTTACATTATGTTTAATGTTAAAATTCTTGTTAATTACATTATTGCAAACACTGTCATTGCTTATTAGGTCTAGGGAATTAATGGTGCCTTGTGAAGTGACTTTTCAATGATCTATTCAGAGATAGAGGAAAGTAGACTTTTAAAAATTATAATTCCAGGGGGGATGAGTCTGTTTTTCTGGATGATGGACATCCATTTCTAACTAATGTAGACCAAAAAACCCCATCATCTGTACCCAGACTAGATCTGTAATGTTTAAATTGATTTTCTTAGACTTAATGCCCCCTGGAATTAACAGTTCATTCACTCATTCAACACATATTTATTACATTTCTTTTATGTTTAAGGAACATTTCCAGAAACTGGTGTCCAGAGTTCAACCTTTTAGGACTGAAAGGTTACGGGAAGCAAACAAATGAAGAGAAAATATATCAGAGGTTAATAAATACTGTGAGGAAGAACAATATAACATGGAGAACAGAAAGTGCTGGAGGGAGGTAGCAGAGACTTAGCCATTTATCATCCACCCTCTTTTTAAAGAATTAGCAGTGGAACCCACACAGCTTGGTGCAGTCATGTGACTAAGTCCTGGCTAGTGTGATGTGTTAGCAGATTTATGACCTGTTGTAAGAGATCTTAAAGCAGTGTAGGAAGGGTGGTTCCCAACTTTGTCTCATATTTCGGCATGCTGGAATGTGGATGTAGGGGGATAAGCTGTGAGGTAGAAGCCACTGCTGGAGAGGGAACAAGAGGGAAGAAGCCTAGGTTCTGACACCATGGAACACCACGCTAGGAGCCCTGGACCAACTGTCTCTGTTGGGACTTCCTTTATAAGATAAATCATCTTCTAGTTTAAGCTACTGTTATGTGGCTTAAACCTGTAACTGTCATCAGTAGGAGGGTGACTATTTTATTTTTCTTTCTCTTTCGTTTGTCTTGTTTTCCTTATGCTTATCACCAATCACCAAATTCTTTGCCAAAAGTATACATTTTTTCTCAATGTGATGAAACCTCTTAATCAGCTTATCAGTTTCATCTAATAGTTTCTTTTGGGAGTTCTTTGTTCTCCTGCTCCAGTGTGGGCTAATTGTTTGCTAAAATGACCTGATTGTACTTCTGGGATCTCCTTTCAATGATAATCTGGGGAGTATCATTTGCCTTGTGTTGCACCTCCTGTTTCCAAGATCTTTTTTCTTTTTTTTTTACTCCTAATTTTAGGAGAAGGTACATGGGAATTAAACTTTTGAGAACTTCACCTCTAAAAATGTCCTTATTTTATCAATCCTCCTAACTGATAGTTTGGATATAAAATTCTACATTGGAAATAATTTTTCCTCATATATTTTTTTAATGTATTTATTTTTGAGACAGAGAGAGACAGAGCATGAGCAGGGGAGAGGCAGAGAGAGAAGGAGACAGAATCTGAAGCAGGCTCCAGGCTCTGAGCTGTCAGCACAGAGCCCGATGTGGGGCTTGAACTCACAGAGTGTGAGATCATGACCTGAGCCCAAGTCGGACGCTTAACCGACTGAACCACCCAGGCACCCCTGATTTTTCCTCATGTTTTTAAAGGTAATCCTTCCTTGCATTATACTTTCTAGTAAGAAATTGTCACTCTGATTCCTGATTTTTTGGTATGTGGCTTGTTTCTCCATGGAAGATTTTATATTTTTCTCATTTTCCCTGATATTCTGAAATTTCACCATAGGGTGCCTTGGAATAGGTTTTTTTCATCCATTATTTCAGTAGAGTCTCTCAATTGGAAAATGCTTAAATTACAAAAAATTCATTGTTTCACGACCCATGTCCATCAGCATATATTTGGATTGAGACAAAAATTTAGAGCTATATGACTATGGGTAGGTTTTGTCAAGTAATGGGCTTTACTGGGGGTACCTGGGTGGTGGCTCAGTCAATTAAGCAAGCAGTTCTTGGTTTTGGTTCAGGTCATTATCTCACTGGTCGTGGGTTCAAGCCCCGCATCGGGCTCTGTGCCAGCAGTGTGGACCCTGCTGGGGGTTCTGTTTCCCTCTCCCTCTCTTCCTCTCCCCCACTTGCTCTCTATCTCTCAAAATAAATAAAAATAAACTTTAGAAACAATTTTTTTTTTAAGTAATGGGTTTTACTGTAATGTGATCTGACTGGACCTTGAGTCGACCTCCCTCACCTCAACTGTTATTATCTGTAAGTTATTTCTCTTGTCTAGTGAGTTTCCCTTGCAAGGAAACTCAGTGTCTCATCTGTGAGGTATCATCCTTGTTGTCAGGTTCCTGAAGCTGAGGAGAGAAGGAGGCCAGAGATGCAATATTTGGTAGTATTTTTCAAGAGTATATTAAATAGTGTAGGCTAATTTGCTTTTACAAATCGACACCAAAAGTGTATTATGACTCAGACATTACAGGATTTTATTTTTTATAAGAATCTGAAGTGAGTTTTCCTAGTAGGCAGGCAGCTCTTCTATACATGATAAATTAAGGACACAGAGTTCTTCCACTTTTTGGCTTTGCCATCCCCTAGAGCCTTATTGTTAGTTGCTCATAGCCAACAGAAAGATAGAACTTCCAAGTAGAATTTCTGAAAGGAAAATGCTTACAAGATGGGAGTAAAATTCACAGCTACAACTTAGAGATAGATAAATATTGTTAAATGATATTAGGCACCTAAAACAGTCTCCTATTCAGTTTCTCATAGGTTTTAATTATTCTCAAAGTGCTGTAAGTTAAGCTTTATCTCAGTTTATAAATGAGAAAGGTCAGACTCTGAGAGATTAAATAATTTCCCCAGGTTCGCTGCTGCTAAGTGGCCCAGCCAAGGTTTAAAGGCAGATTGTAAAACAAGTTCAGTCTACCATTTATTTATTTAAAAATTTTTAATGTTTGTTTATTTTTGAAAGAGAGAGAGAGAGAGAGAGAGAGAGAGAGGGAGCAGGGTGGGACAGAGAGAGAGGGAGACACAGAATCGGAAGCAGGCTCCAGGCTCTGAGCTGTCAGCACAGAGCCCAACGTGGGGCTTGAACCCACAAACCATGACATCATGACCTGAGCTGAAGTCGGATGCTCAACCAACTGAGCCACCCAGGTGTCCTGATTTAGTTTTCTTTTTTCTTTTTTCTTTATATAGACGTGTGTGTGTGTGTGTGTGTGTGTGTGTGTGTGTGTGTGTGTAAAATTTTATTTCATCATGCTAAGTGTACTATTTAATCTCCATCACCTGTTTTACCCATCTCCTTACCCACGTACCCTCTGGCCACCATCAGTTTGTTCTCTACAGTTAAGAGTCTGTTTCTTGGTTTCTCTCTCTCTTTTTGCTTTGCTCATTTGTTTCTTAAATTCCACAGTGAGATTATATGGTATTTGTCTTTGACGGGAAGATTTCATTCTTTTTTATGGCTCAGTAATATTTCATTGTGTGTGTGCGTGTGTGTGTGTGTGTGTATGTGTGTGTACACACATACACATACACACAGGTATATATATACACATACATACATACATGTACACACACACACACACACACAGCAGACCACATGTTTATCGATTCATTTGTTGATGGACACTTGGGCTGCTTCCATAATTTGACTATTGTAAATAATGCTTCAGTAAATATAGGGTGCATGTATCCCTTTGAATTAGAGTTTTTGTATATTTGGGGGTAAATACCCAGTAGTGTGATTGCTGGATTGTAGGGTAGTTCAATTTTTATCTTTCTGTGGAAACTCCATACTGTTTTGCACAGTGGCTGTGCCAGTTTGCATTCCCACCAATAGTGCACAGTGGTTCCTTTTTCTCCATGTCCTTGCCAAAACTTATTTCTTTTGTTTTTGATTTTAGCCATTATGACTGGTGTGAGGTGACACCTCATTGTGGTTTTGATTTGCATTTCCCTGATGATGAGTGATGTTAAGCATCTTTTCATGTGTCTGTTGGCCATCTGGTTGTCTTCTTTGGAGAATTGTCTGTTCGTGTCTTCTACCCCTTTTTTTAAAAATTGGATTATTTGTTTTGGGGTGCTGAGTTGTATAGGTTCTTTATATATTTTGGATACTAACCTTTTATTGGATATGTCATTTGCAGATATCTTCTCACATTCATTAGG